GTCTATGTATTCACACATGTATTATGTTTCTGGTTAATACAATTCTAGCATGAATAATAAACATTTATCATGAAATAAGGAAATAAATAATAACTTTATTATTGCCTCTAGGGCATATTTCCTTCAGCTGCCACCACCACTGGCGGCGCTTTCCAGCGGATCCACCGCGCCGATGACGACGGCGCCGTCCCTCACTGCGCCGATGCTGCCGGCGCCGTCCCTCACCGCGCCGACGACGTCCGCCGCCGGATCAACCACGCTGGCGGGCCCCGTCTCCACCGCGACCCCGGCCGCGCCGTCCTCCATAATTCCTCCCGCGCCACCGCCGTCCGCCGTCTTCACACCGAAGCAGGTCACGGCCACCCTGCGGGACCTCGTCACCGCCGTCCAGGGCCTCTACTTGCAACTGCAGCAGTACGCGGCCGGGCCCTACATGCCCCTGCCGACGGTGCCCCCTGCCGCCTACGGCCACACATTGTGGCCGCCCCAGGGCGTCTCTCCGTACGGCGTGCCCCTCTGGCCCTTGGCGCCGACGCCGTCCTCGGGCCCCTGGCCGCTCTAGCAGATGCCGCAGGCGGCGGCCACCGGACCGCTGCAGCCGTTCTCCGCACCGACCTGCACCGGGCAGCCCCTGCTGCCGTTTCCAGCGGGACACCCCGGCAGGACTACGCAGACCGCGGCCCCTCTGTGGTACTTGCAACCACCCCCTCCCGCGGCCACCGACGCCCCCGCCCACCCCCGCCACCGACGCTCCAACCACCGGCACCGCCCCTGCCTAGCTCGGGGGCACCCTCACCGACCGGCCTCCCGATTCATCAGGTCCGGTTCCCGCCCTCCCCGTCGCCACTTCCAGCATGGGCGGCTGGGTCTTCGCCATCGCCGGTCTACACCACGGCTCCGGAGCAGCTGACCCCGTTTTCGAAGTTCGGCGGGCCATCCAGCTCTGCGGGTCCCTACCCGAAGTACTCCGACCAGGCGCCACCCGCCTCCCTGCTCCGCACCTCTGAGCCAGCTCGACATGGCGCTCCGACCCAAACACCGCCACGGTTCGCCAAGATCGACTTCGCCACCTATGACGGCACAGAGGACCCCCTCAACTGGCTCAACCAGTGTGAGCAGTTCTTTCGCGAGCAGCGCACCCTCGCATCGGAGCGTACCTGGCTTGCCTTGTATCACCTCCGCGGCGCGGCACAGACCTGGTATTACGCCCTCGAGTAGGACGAGGGCGCCATGCCCCCTTGGGAGCGCTTCCGCGAGCTCTGCCTCCTTCGCTTTGGGCCTCCGGTTCGCGGGAGCCGCCTGGCGGAGCTCGGCCGCCTTCCATTCACCTCCACAGTGCAGGACTACGCCGACCGTTTCCAGGCCCTGGCATGCCATGTGTCGGGTGTGACGGCGCAGCAGCGGGCCGACCTCTTTGTCGGTGGACTTCCGGATCACATCCGCGTGGACGTGGAGCTTCGGGGACCCCAGGATCTCCGGTCGGCCATGTACTACGCCCGCGCTTTCGAGCGCCGCACGGTGGCCATCCAGCAGGAATCACCGTCCCGGACCGCTGGGTCGCTACCCGGGCCGGATTCCGCACAGGGTCGGCCTGCACAGGCTTCTGCGGCACCCCTCGCCGTGACCGCGGCGCGCCCGTTCCGCCGGCTGACCTCAGCCGAGCTACTCGAGCGTCGCCGCCAAGGGTTGTGCTTCAACTACGACGAGCCCTACACGCCCGGCCATGCCTGCCCGCGACTCTTCTACCTGGAGGTTGCAGACTACATTCCGGAGGACGCCGTCGCCGCCGACCTGGCCGCCCCAGCTGTCGAGAAGGTGTTTGACGCTAGTTGATCACCTCGAGGAGTTCCGCAAGCGCTTACCCACCTTACAGCTCGAGGACGAGCTGTTTGTGCAGGCGGGGAGAAGTGTTATGGCCGGTTTAGCTAGGCCCACCGGGCAATCTTAGCCCACAAATTATCTTAGATAATTCTTATGCAAGTTATCTAGGTTATAAATATAGGTTGTAAGACTCTTTTTGGAATCAAGCAATAAGAAGATTATTATCTCTATTGCCCGGCTCCCAGAGGAGCCGGAACCCTAGCCGCCTTTAACCCTAGTCGCCGCCGCCATCTCCCTCCTCTTCCGCGACGGCGCCCAACCGCCGGCGCGGCCGCTCATCGCCTCGCCCAGCTCCCTCCTTCCCCTAGTGCTTACGCCCCAGGCCTGGTAGGGTACAAGTTCCTACCACAGTATGCATCGATTGATGCAGAGGCTGGGGGTTTTAACCTCCTTTTCCAGAACAATAAAAAAAATCTGAGAAAAGCCCAACCTATTTGCCAAACGTTCAGGATCTCTATTCATGTATGCTGGTCACCGTGGTGGTTCATATGCCAAGAACAGCTTTGGAAATATGTAAGCTCTGCTCTTTTATCTGCATTATTTCTTGAGTTAATTGTGTTCTGACTGAAGGCATAAATTCTGCTTGTAGCTTCACTGATGTGGGTGTTTTTGTCCAGGGTCGCTTGTTTCGTGAAGCTTGGGGCAGCAAAGCTCCTAAAATGCAAGCGGTATTCAGTGATTTTCTCGCAAACCCATTGCAGCTTTTGTCAATATTGACTTTTGTTTTCCATGTTCCTGTGTCTGGGTCTTTCAGTACTCTATTCACATGTAAATATTATATGTATTTTCTCAGCACGGCTCTTTAATTTGACATCTTTCCTAATTTGGACAGACTCACATAAGCAAATATAATAAAATCTAATGCCTACTGTACTAATTTATTACAACCTCACGATCTCAAGGAATAAAACATCAGAATTCAGAACGGTTTGTTTGGAGACCTAAAAGAAGTTCAGAAAGAGCTTGGAAACCGTGATGTTATGTTTCACCATCCAGCACTCCGCAGAAAAATGCAGCAGTCTTTTGGTGAGCAAGGATAAACGGCAATGACAATGAGATCATCAACGTACTGAACCACCGCGTTCTCTGAAATGCAGATAAACATTGGACTACTGGATAACTTTTACAGAGGATCTTGTTGATGATAATCTAAATTGGTTTTCCATGTGACATACCATCAGTTGCTGATTCAACATGTACGATTCCATGCTAACTAACGCAAGCAATGATTACCCAGTTTGTTTTTGCAGCAGGTCTCCCTCGTCATATTTTCACAAAGTACAGAGAGAATTCTGAGTAACCTTAAAATTGACCAACCAGATCCAGCGCTGGATGAGTTGATGTGGGAAGGAATACTCAAGAAAGAAATGAGGAGACCAATAACAGGACCGATGATAGTATCACGAGATAGATACTTGGAGCGATGAACATGCCAGTTCACATGCCCAGTGGTGCAAGAGCAGGGAGTCTGAAAATGTAAGACTGCTGTTGCACATAATTCGAATGAAAAGCTAACATGATCTGAGAAAAGCCAAACCTATTTGTCAAATAGCTGCACTATGATGCAAAATTTTCCACATTCTCAAACCAACAAATCTTCTACAACAAACATATATACAGAAAGTTACTCAAATGCTCTGCACAAATTCAGGCCAACATTTTTTCATTCATATCTGAAATTGATCACGCTACAACTTGATATTTGGTACATTGAGGACTTGCTTAGCTCAAAGCTTCACCAACACACACAAGAGTTCACATTCTTGGCAAGTAGATTGCTGTATCTCAAACCAAAAAATCTTCTAACTGATAACTGTCCCAAACATGGTTATGTGCATCACCACTCAAAGGAAGTATTGTGACACCAGAGGTCAATCCATTGGATCGTATCTCGGGTACACACTTCTCCAACCAGAACACAGGAATGTTTTAAGAAGCCATAGAAGCATACAAGAATAGATCGATACAAAAAGATTACTCAAATGCTCCGCACAGATTCAGGCCAACAAATTCAGATTACAGTATCTCAAACGAAAATTATCTTCTAACCATTAACTGTCAAAAACATGGTTCTGTGCTTCACCACTCAAACGAAGTATTGAGAAATTAGAGGTGAGTTCTATTGGATCAGTGCCTCAGTACACACCCTTTTCCGACTAGAGCAGCAGAATGTTTTAATAAGTCATAGATGCATACAACAAACATATATACAGAAAGTTACTCAAATGCTCTGCACAAATTCAGGCCAACAATTTTTCATTCATATCTGAATCTGATTACAGTATGACTTGATAGTCGGTACATCAAGGACTTGCTTAGCTCAAAGCTTCACCCACACATACACACAAGAGTTCACTAACCAATGTTACTCGTCGGAAACTGCAACTTTAACTCACCAAGACGCCAATGCCTAAGAATCCAATTCAGCCAAGATTAATTTTACAGGAGAGTCAGCATAGTCTCCAAATGCTAGGCAGCTCACATGATTACTGTGTGTATCGACAAGTTCAATTCTACTCCTTTTTCCTGCTACAAGCCGGGTAGCAAATGGGCGTTTTGCATTTTGCGGCGAGTGCGTTTTACGCACTGTCTCGTGCCGGGATTGCAGTACATGAGTTTCCAATTTTTTTGGCTCATCTGCTTTACTTTGATTTATTGAAAATGCCCTTTATTTACTTAAACCTTAACTTAGGACCAGGTTTGGATGCAGTGGTAACTATGTCGTACACATCTTAACAAGGTTTTTGCTGCCTAGACTAGATGAAGACTCTGCTGACACCCTTGTAAAATTACTAATGACTGAACGGGATTCAAAGAACACTAGTAATCTTGGTAAGCAAGTGCAGAACCTAGAGATGCAAAGATTAAATGAAACTCATGTGTGAATGGTTTAGGAAGGTAAAAGACTAGCAAGGGCGTAATACCACTGGACGCAGCCAAGCAATTGGTTGCTTCATTGGTGCTGCAGCGGTGACACGGTTTTGCTTCGGAACCTTGCAGCTGAGCTCCCCCATTCCCCTTCTTGCGCGCAGAGTTGAAGCTGGAGTCGCCTTCTTCACACTGGGCAATGGTGTCGAGCCGACGAAAGAGCGAGCCTTGGAAGCGACGGGACGAGAGACCTTCTTCACGGGCGCAACAGCAGTAGCAGGCAGGCAGAGTGGAGCCTTGGAAGCCGGGCGCTTGCGGTGGTGGCAAGCGGACTCCTCGTCTTCAGCCATCTGGCGTCCACGGGCACGGATGGCGCACCGGACATCCACGGGGTCAGCACCAGCAGCAGCCGGCAAGGTGGTGGCAGGCCCAGGGCGCGCGGCGGAGGCAATATCAGAGGCAACGACGGAGCCGGGCATCGCCGGCGCATGGCTGCGTTCTTCGTGGTTGACACACCAGACACGGACGGGATCACCACGGGCCGCCTTGGCAGGAGCAGCGACAGATGCGGCCGTGGCGGCGTGGCGACTGGGACGCCCTCCATGGTCGACGCCGTAGCGGCGGAGTTCTTGGGCGGCTGCGGCGGCCTCCTTGGCGAGGCCGTCTTCCTCGAGACGGCGCTGGAAGTCGGCGTCCCAGCGAGCGAGGGACTCCCGGGACTCACCGGTGGCCTTGGCCAGGCTGTGCTTGGTCCAGTACTGGAGCACCCTCTCGAGGGCGCGCGAGGACACCCGCATCTCCAGCGGGCGGGCTTGGGCGGCGGCCGGGCGATAGTCCCACGCCGGAGCGACGAGCACCTTGCCATCGGCGCTGCGGAGCTGGAGCACCTTGGCTGCCATCGATGGCGTGCCTAGGTCTGGAGATTGGGAAGGTGGGCGAGCAGATCGAACTGGAGCTGCTGCTCCCATCGGCGCTCCCCATTTATTCAGGGGTGAGCTCCTGATTCTTGTCGAACTCGGATTGGAACTGTCGCCGGCTGAATTGGAACTGGGATCGAACTCATCGGCAATCTCACGCGCTCATTCCAGCTGTTTTAATTCCAGACGCGTCGTTTTTATAACTGAAGAAAGAAGTAGAACGTCTTTACTTTCTCAGACCATCTTCAGTTAAAAACCTGGACGCCTCTGCATCCTATTGATGAATTTCTACTGTATAAAATGCTAGGATTAACGTGTTGGTACAAAAAGCAATATTAAATTGTTGTTTGTATTGGAGTAAAATGCAAGCGCGGTCCTAATTCTTTCCCAAAAGTGTTGATTGGGTCCTAATTCTTTCAGATTGCATATCTGGGTCCTAATTTTTTCTAAGTTGTTCATCCGAGGTCCTAATTTCGTCTGACCGCCGCTGACCAGCTCGCGTGGCGCTTTGACCGCCGCCACGTCGACTCGAGGGCCCACGTGTGATAACGACCAGCCGTGCATTTTTTCAAAAGAGCCCCCCAACCCTAATCTCTTCACAGCCGTAGTCCTTTTCATCTCCTCTTCCCCACCTCTCTCTGCTCTGGCGAAACAGGGGAGATCGACGGCGGTGGTCCGGTGAGAAGAGGCAGGCGGCCATCGCAGGCGCTTGTCCGGCGGCGGCGCCGCTAGGATGGCGCCTGTGCATCGGCGACCCGGAGATCCTCCTCCGCGATACGGTCAGTGTGGTGCCCGTAACCCTAACCCTCGATCCTCTTTTTCTGCGGATTCCGATTTAGCTCGAATCGATGGTAGTATTTGACTGAATCCCTCGATACCTAGGACCACAAGAGGAGGTTTTTTACCGTAGAAATCAACTATGCTGGATTTTTCTGCGGATTTGGCCGATCGAAGACGTATGCCGATGGGAAAGTTGCTCTGTTCGATGGTTGCGAAGTAGATACATGGTCTCCTCTCTGGCTCACTAATTTTATGCATCAATTGGGATATAGTGACCAATCTAAGCATGTTATTTACTGGTTACTGCCTGGAAAGAATTTAGGTGATGGACTACGGATTGTGGACTGTGACACTGACACTTTGCACATGACAGCAGTTGTTCCAAAATTCCAGTACTTTCAATTGTTTGTTGATCACAAAGACATGGCCTTTGACAGTGTAATTGATAATATTCATGTTAGTGGTACACCTGAGCTACCTCCTGTACTAAGCCCTAAATCTCCTGGGTTTAGCAGTGGAATAAGAGGAAGTCCCAGGTTTAAGGTGAGAATACTCCTACATAGAAAAATGAGCTCATTCATCTTCTGCATTACTTCTGCATACACCACAGTCTCAACAATGCTCTGCTTCTTCACTTGCAGACGAGCTAGCGGCGGCGGACATGGCGGCGACGGCGCGGCGCCAGAGAGAGGGAGAGAGCGAGCAGAAGACCTAGGGACCGGAGAATGAGGAAAGCATAAACTCTAGGGGCCAAACTGCTTAAATTCCCAACCTCCAACTGCGGGAAATCTCCCGCATGGGCCCTCGAGTCGACGTGGCGGCGGTCAAAGTGCCACGCGAGCTGGTCAGCGGCGGTCAAACGAAATTAGGACCTCGGATGAACAACTTAGAAAGAATTAGGACCCAGACGTGCATTTTGAAAGAATTAGGACCCAATCGACACTTTTGGGAAAGAATTAGGACCGCGCTTGCATTTTACTCTTTGTTTTGTTCTTGAGCACAGCCCAATGTGTATCAATCCCATAAAATTTCTGAACTTTCCATTTCTGAAGCTATTAAATTTGACATGTACTGAATTTTGCTGTTTTTTTTCTTAAAATATGGTTCTCCTTCATACTCAATTTTTTCCTTTCGACTACTAAATATGCTTATGAAAGACGACCCAATGGAGCATCTGGAAGGAGGATAGGGAAGCCAAGGAGAAGTTCAGAATAAGATACAGGCTTCAGATTTATTACTATTTCTGAACTAATATGCTTTTGATGGTTGACAGAGATAAAACTGATAGATCCTCTGGATCGGGGTAGGCTAGATCTTCCGGTGAACCTACCTTCTTTAGGTGCAGATGAGCTCAATCCAGCACCGGCCATGGTGAAGTAGGGGCCGGTGATGGCAGAGAGATCGAGATGGAGGGGTGGCAGTGGTGCTTCCCGTGAGCACTGTGATTGCCCTAGATCGGGAGGGGATTTTGGTGAGGAGACTGGCGGCGCGGTGAACCTCGTACCGTGTGCCCCGGCCCCCACCTCTCTATATATCGCAGGTCACAGGGGCCCACCAACCATAAGAGGGTTGGGCGTCCCCGATCAGGGCGCGAATATATCAGGGCCCGATGGGCCGTTGGGCCCACTTGATGGAGAGATCAACCTAACATTCTCCCCCTTGATCTCAACTTTTACTTTTAACCATATACTTTCTAGTTTATTTGTTTCATCACATATTGGTACATAGAGCATGTTGCATCGTCACAGCTTAAATGCCGATAGAATCATACAGCTACAACATAAGTTTTGTTCAGAAACAAATTCTGTTCCTTTTGGGCCTATCCAGGAATCATAAGGCTTTCCCTTAAACCCATGCCGGCTAAGTGTTCCTTGAACACATTGGGTGGTAAGCCTTTTGTTAGCGGATCCGCAAGCATATCCTTTGTCCTTATATGCTTGAGATTTATAGTTTGATCCTGGATTTTATCTTTCACAACATAATACCTTATCTCTATTGTTTTGGCAGCATTACTCGACTTATTGTTGTGAGCGTAAAATACTGCGGGTTGGTTGTCGCAGTACATCTTTAGTGGTTTGTGAATACAATCTACCACTTTCAAGTCGGGTACAAATTTCTTTAGCCATATCGCCTGCCCCGTGACTTCGAAGCATGCTATGAATTCTGCATACATCGTGGATGATGCAACTATCGACTGTTTGGAGCTTTTCCACGAAATAGCTCCCCCAGCGAGAGTGAAGACGTATCCTGACGTGGATTTTCTATCATCTCTATCCCCCGCAAAATCTGTGTCTGAATACCCTTTTATCTCTAGGGAATCACTTCTCCTGTATATTAGCATGTAGTCCTTCGTGCCTTGCGCATAACGCAATGCTTTCTTTACCATCTTCCAGTGCTCCATGCCTGGATTCTCTTGATATCTACCGAGTCCCCCGGTGATAAAAGCTAAGTCAGGGCGAGTGCACACTTGTGCATACTGTAAGCTGCCAACTGCCGAAGCATATGGTACTGCTTTCATTTGATCGATCTCGTACTGGTTCTTGGGACATTGGAATTTCCCAAAACTATCGCCCTTGACTATAGGAGCAGGTGTGGCTTTACTCGCATGCATATTATACTTTTTAAGAACCTTTTCTAAATATGGTTTCTGCGATAGTCCTAAGACTCCATTGTTCCTATCTCGGTGAATTTCTATGCCCAAAACATATGATGCTTCACCAAGATCTGTTATGTCAAAATTTGAGGATAAGTATTTCTTTGTTTCTTGTAGTAGACTAACATCACTGCTAGCAAGCAGGATATCATCCACATACAAGATTAGGAAAATATATTTCCCATTCTTAAACTTTGCATAAATGCAATTATCCTCAATATTTTATTTAAATCCAAAACTTTTAATCGTTTGATTAAACTTTAGATACCACTGCCGAGAGGCTTGTCTTAATCCATAAATGGATTTCTTCAGGTGGCATCCCATATTTTCCTTGCCTTCCATGATAAAACCCTTGGGTAGTTTCATGTAGACCTTTTCTTTTAAATCACCATTCAGAAATGTCGTCTTAACATCCATTTGATGTAACTCTAAATCAAAATGAGCAACTAATGCCATTATGATTCTGAAGGAATCCTTACATGAGACGGGAGAAAATGTCTCATTGTAATCTATCCCTTCTCTTTGTGTAAATCCTTTTGCCACGAGTCGTGCTTTATACTTTTCTATATTCCCTTTAGAGTCATACTTAATTTTATAGACCCATTTACAACCTACTGTTTTGGCTCCTTTAGGAATTTCCTCTAAGTCCCAAACATCTTTGGAACACATCGATTTCATCTTGTCTTCCATTGCCTTCATCCACTTCGATGAATGAGGGCTTCTCATGGCTTCTTCATATGAGATGGGATCTTTTTCCATATGAACCATTTATGTGTTATAAACTTTAAAATCAGTAGAAATAGCTGACTTTCTTGGTCCTGTAGACCTTCTAAGGGCCTCAGTTTCTGGCACATTCTGTGCCTCAACTTCTGGTACTTCTTCTAAAATTTGTTGTTGCACCTCCCTTTCATGCTCAACAACGGGTTTAGTCGGCTCCTGACAGATAGGTTCCGGGTCTACCCCCATAGTTGTCATGGGTGGAGTTGCAACTGATAGTGAGAAAAATGGCTCCTGGATCATCGTATTAGGTGCATGCACCCTCTTCTCCTCAAGATCAATTTTCCTAGCTACCAAGCTCCCCCTCATCATTTCATCCTCAAAGAAGACTGCATGTCTCGTTTCTACAAACTTTGTATATCTGTCTGGGCAGTAGAAACGAAAACCTTTTGATCTGTCTGGATAGCCAATGAAGTGGCAACTTACTGTTTTGGGATCTAACTTTGCAATGTTTGGATTAAACATTTTGGCCTCAGCAGGACACCCCCACACCCTGAAGTGATGTAGGGAGGGCACCCTTCCTGTCCATAGCTCGTACGGTGTTTTGGGCACCGACTTGCTTGGTACTCTATTGAGAATGTGAATGGCGGTTTTAAGCGCCTCCATCCATAATCCCAATGGCAAGTTGGAATAACTCATCATGCTGCGCACCATATCCATAAGTGTACGGCTGCGCCTTTCAGCTAATCCGTTTTGCTGAGGTTCTGAAAGTGCAACTATCCCTAGGTGGTTTTGGTAATTCATAACAACATATAGCTCATTGAGCTAATGCTATTCCAAGATGATTATTTCAGGAAAGCTCAATGATTGGCATGGCATGGATGTGAAAGTGGAACCCTCA